ATTTCGACACGAACGTCCGCGCGACGGTGACGCAACGCCGACGCGGCGTGTACTCGACGTTCGGTACTTTTCAGGGGGTCTTTTCCCGTTTTCAGACCGATATCCGTCATAAAACAATTACTGTGTGTAGTCAAATAAGCAATACTCGACCAAAATCTAAGGACAATACCAAGTATCAAGCTTCATTCGCATCATGCTTATTTTCATTTGGTCGTGTATTACTTACGTATTTCACAGTAATTTTTTCAGATGGATGCCGCACGGAGGAAGGGAATAGACCCCCAACGGCGGCTATACGTTGTGTAGCCGCCGCACAGTGGTTCGTCTAGAACAAGCTAGCTAAAAGTATTTTCTTGTTTTTTTAGAGACATATACTACAAATACGCTTGTCTACATAAACAAATCGCTTTTTAGCATAATCTGAAAAATGATTAAAGGCAGTTGTAACAAAAAAGACATTTATAAATAAATAAATAAATAACGCACACACTCAACATAGCCCCACACTAGGGAAACCCTGTGTCGCGGGTGCCATGGACACACACATAGACAACCACAAATTACACCCAAACTCACGAGAGAAATAAATGTAAGCCATACAAACATTTCTCCCGGCCCGGGAATCGAACCTGGGACCTCTGCGTGGCAGTCCGGCATGGTAACCGTTCGGCCACGGAGGCAGTTTTGAAATTGAAACGGCTATATGTATTCAAACACAAAATATATTTTACCTAAATGTAATATAGAAATAACAACAGACATTCATATTCTAGTAATCAAATATTAAAAAAAAGTTTCACACTGCACATCACTCATCATCATCACTATCATCGCGTGGATTATCATTTGAATAATCATGCGGGACAGTTGTATGGTAACACAACGTTTGCATTTTGATAACTAATGCTCGGGGCGATCAACAACTCCGTAACCTCAGAAGGGAACTTACCAGACTAACCATAATTTGTTTCAGAGACAGTAAAGTCTTTGGTTTCTTTAGGAAAAGATAAACTTTATTGGACGATAAAGTTGTTGACGCTGTTTATGACGGCCGATTCTGTCAAACAACATTACCCAGGGAGAATGAGAAAGTAAACAAAAATTCATCGTTGTCATCGCAGTTGGAAAATTGTTGTTTGTAGGTATGCATTGTGACCTGAAATTCCATTGCAACTTCACTTGCTTAAGAGCATTAATGAAGTACAGGACAAGAGACTGTGATAACTTTTTACTGTGCTGTAACCAATCGTGGAGTAATTTTATTTAAAACTGCTTTTACTCTAATTATTCTTGACGCGCGCTGCGTTTCATTTACAACTCTGATCTGATCTTCAGGAGGATAGTACGCGGATTTGACGGAAATATCTTATGTCCCGCTCTAATGCTTCACTTCTGAGTCTGCATATTTATATGGCTACTTGGTTTGCTATCAATATAGTATTCCAAAGCTTCTTCACTTGTCAAACACCTAAGCGCATTGATTTCGCTCAAAGTTGTAATTTTTTTTAATTTCATACATATGTCAGGCTTATTTACGACATCGTCAATCACTCGTGTTACAGCTCTGATGCCAGATAATCGAGTAGATACCTCTGCAGCATGTATTAACTCCGAAGTGCTCCTTGACTTTATCAAGTCATATACACTTCTTCGTTTGGTCTTACTGCTGGAATCAACAAATTCTTTTATAGGTCTACCAGGTCCTGGTAGATTGTCGATGGTATTGCTTGATGTACTGACGCTTTGAAGGATATGTGGCCACTGTGTATCCACTCTGAATGCTTGTCCAAGAACTTTTGTTTATTTCTTGAACAATTATACCATTTTTCGGCTATCTTTGACGAAATTTGCGAAATGGCAACCTTCAGGCTTCTCACAGAAAATGAGTTACTCCACTCAGATTGTATCTCGAAGATACAAATCGAAAAAGCTCCTTGTTTCTCCTTTCTTTTGGTTATTTCACCCATTCTTCAAAAAAGACAACTTTTGGAACGTTGATAACTGTCTCTGTTAGAAAAAATGAAATTAATAGAAGTGCAAAAAAGTTGCAGTAAAATTGATACTATGAAAAAGTTTTAGAAATGTGACACACGGAGACATGTAAATATTTGATGTTTAAAGTAAAAAAATTGGACAAAAATAGTATTATTTTAGAATCAGGTAGTGTTACAAAAATTGAACATCTCTCATCAGACGTTCTCTTAAATAACTCATCATAAAAACCTCTACTCACCCTTCAGTTCACTTACCATCACGAATCAAAAACAATAAAGATGTTTAAACAAGTAAATTAAATTATCACTTCGCCAGCAATTAAGCTAATTAATGCAACTTGATTTTGTCACTTTCTTCTTACTCACCCACGTAACATTTAACCGAGTGTAGTTGAAAAAAATACATGCAGAGTTCTTAATGTATAGGTCTAATGATCGTTAGACGAAAATAATATCCTAAGATATCCATGGTACTTTTTAGTCAGCTAGCTAGTTCTAGACGAACTATAGTGCGCTGCGTTGACGTGGTGTCGACTTTAGGCGTACGCTGGCAAGACACTGACACTCGAAAGATGTTAGTGTGTGGGGTCTTACTGTTGTCCTTAGTCGTTAGCGGTTGCGTAAATTAGTTCACAACTTTTGCTTTTTTTTGCATGGCAAATTATACAGCGCCTCTCGGTCACAAAAAGAAACAATATTTTGTATACTAATTTTTTACGCGATCGCTAACGATAACTGTCACTGTGATCTCATGGAAGAGGCACAGATCGTTTTTTTGAAGTCGGTGAAAAATAAAAGCATTCAAGGGAAGACTGTCAGTAACACAATTCAATTTTAGCGCAGTCATTGGCAATATAAAATTTTAACTAAATGTAAATTTTTGGATACTTCACTTCCCCAGTAGGGCTAGCACGATATTCCTATTATCACGAAAGTAAATTTGGTCTGAGGCTATTATCTATGGGAGTATAGTAGTATCTCGCGCTTTATGTCGCTCTCTCGCAAGTCGAGCCCTATTGTGCCAGCCCCACAGATCCTTTGCGTTAGCTGTTACCTCATAACCCATTACACAGTATGTTTTTTTAACTGGGGAATAATGTAATGGCCACTCATTAAAAAACCTTTTTAATACGTTTAATGGACGGGGAAATTCAAACTCACGTTCGACACTATTTTTTATATAAATAATTTTGTAACGTAAAATTTAGAATAATAAATAATATAATAAATAAAGAATATGAAAAAAAATTACCTAACACACTGTGTTGTGTTGTGTTATGTGCGTATTTCGACTAGAATTAACATGCACGAACCCATTTTGAACAAGTTCTGCCGTCCAGATTTTTTTCCCTGTTATAATTAATTGTAAATAATATATAAGGAAAACTCACACTTAACTACATCAAAATCACTTTCATACAAAAAGATTTAACGGTACCTAAGATAGTTTTCCCATGCAGTCCCACTTAATAAATAAAACATTGTATAATCATATCCTCACAGATGATGCCATTTTTTTATCTTCGTCACAGAATACAAGAGGACGGTAATTACGCAGCAACAGTGTACTTTTCTGAGAAAACTGGATACCGCATTGAGTTCTGGGGTCAGAGTAACAAGTTGGCCGATATTCCACTCGGCGTCGCACGCGCATACTTCAGAAAAGACGTTGAAACCGATGGGTCAGTCTCTCACCAGAATTATTTATATTCAGGTTTTTATAGAACCACAAATCATGCCCTTGGTATAATAAAGTCAGATGTGATCATACAACAATGCTTTTATCACATAAAGTAGGTTAATGCACGAAAGTCATAAAAATAACACAAACTACTTAAAACAAATTAATCTTCATTTTTTTTCTTCTATTTCAGCTTAAAAAGTTATAGACTAATTTCTTTCGTAGAATCTTTAAACCTCTCTCCTGAAAAGTTGCGATTTTACAGTTGTGGTCTTATTACACTAAGGGTGCGAACTTCAGTTTGTAAATAATTTTAAGCTTACTCAAAATCATAGATTTGGTTTTCGGTGCATAAAAATGTACACCTTATGTAAGCAATTTTCAGAATTCCGTATTTTATTTTCATTAATTTATTATTCCTCAGTTCTACAATTATATTTGCTATAATGATTAGTAGTGTACTTTACATGCAGATCTTCTTCTTCTTCATGGAGACCATCAACCTTTATTTTCACAGCTGGTACCTTCTAGAAGTAGAAACGAATGGTGATTACAATGATGAAAATCAATCGTACGCCGCTGGTATTGTCGAAGGCGCTTTGACCTGGAGTTTGATCCACACTCACCTGGAGAATACCATCCGTAGAAAGTGCCAAGGCGAGGCTTTAGAGAAGCAATGCCTTGCCCTTAAGGACTACTTCGAGAAGTCAGTTAACAAATGGAAAAATTATGCTGAATCCGCAAGTGACGACCCATATTGGCATCATGTAAGAATTTGTATAGAGTCACGTAGGATTACAACGAACGAATCCACGAGATCTGTAATAGGAGGCATTATCGTCTCCATGTTCAGGGAATAAAGAATTTGTATTGATAATTTGTCTTTGAATTTTCAGGTAAATCTCTACTACACCCAAATCAACGGGATTTACACAGGGTGGAAATACGGCATCGATCGCAGTGAGAGCGAATATCCAACAGACATTTACGAATTACACTGGCTAAACTTCATTAGTGAAATTCCAGAGGTCCAACGTAAATTGAACCTTACCTTGGAAGATTCCGCATTAGATTACATATCAGGACTGTCTAGTGCGTTCTTGAGGATCGTCAATGACACTTCTAGCGATGGGACGCAGAATAAGAAACTCTTTGTTTCTCAAAATGCAGCTGGAAGGTAAAACGCTGAATCACACTTGCTTTTAATTCTTCAAAGTCTTAAAGGTTAGATAGATGTATTTGTGATCATATGTGAAAAAGAGGGTGGTAACAAAGTCGCCTCGTTGCAAAATATTAAGACTTTTTGAAGTATACCTAGGTATATTCGTTTAATTGGTGAGGGTAAACAAGTTATTTTGCTTTTCCAGTTATTACACAATGACCCGTATTTTAAAACGGTACAAGCTGAACTATCACCTCAAGAATGATGATTCTACTCCCGTTCCCGGCATTCAAGTGGATTTCTCCAGTTACCCTGGGTCCGTCACCAGCCAAGATGAGTTTTATTTACTGCAAGGCAAAGAACATCGTTTGGCCATCACTGGTACATCGCTGCGAAATTATAATAACAAACTTTGGAAAGAAGTTGATATTATTGAACAAGTAAGTAACAAGATTTTCGATGTTTCTGCAACTGTAAATTAATGTATCTTTCGGAAATTGGTGTATGCGATTTCATGGTAAAGTCTACGCCTATCTATAAACAGGAATCTATGCATTGTCTCGCGTCGGAAGTGAGATTGATTTCCATAAACAAACGCCCATTCCTAAACGTTAGCGTCAATGATGAGTGTTTGTGGACTTATTAAGTTCTCGAGTGCATTAAGTCTAGACTAACTTAATAACACTATTAATGTGTTATGATATAAGTTACGATAGTTGTGTTGACAACCTTCGTGGTTGATTGGCTTGCATACCGGTTTTCATGGAGTCGCCATCTCTGAGGTTCCGCGTTCGATCTGCGGCCGGGTCAATGTAGAAAACTAACTTTTCTATATTCTCTCGGCTCTGGTTGTTTGTGGTACCATCGTTGTTTTTGGGTTTCCATAACACTAGTGCTTTAGTTACTTACTTTGGTATCAGAACAATGTATGTGATATTGTTTAATAAAAACTGTGTTACAGTTTATTTGTTATTTTCTGTCGAAATTTATCTTCGCCACTAAACTTCTATTTGTTTCTTTTCTTCAGTTGCCTATCGGACCCCGAATCACTACCGCCAACCATCTAGCCACAAATGTCAGCTCCTGGGCACACAAGTTAGCATCTGACAATTCTGGGACTGCATGCAAGCAATGGTTGGTCGTGGACTTCAATGTGTTCGATCGTCTTCACGACCAAAGCCCAATGAAACATCGTCATATGGAGAAGGAAATTATTACTGAAGTCAGCATCAATCGGTTAGTATTTACTTATATACCTTTAAAGTGATGTCACCTTTGTGACGTTACCTATTGTGTTTCAGGTAAATACGAAAGACTGATAAATATAGATAAACGACTCGATTCCAAAAATTTTCGCAATAGTCACGCTTCAGTTTTTGTTTGCCCGAACTTGAATGTTTTCTTTTGTTCTTTATTACGAAAATGTTGTAAATATATAAAAAAAATAATCGTAATGACAATAACATGTTCCTAATAGTGCAAGAAGCAGTGTTAGTCTGGTTCGTAGAACTTTGAGGTCTATGTAGGGTTCGATTTCCAATACAGAGTAGTACGCACCACTGAGTCTTTTCGATTCATGCCTAGTTTGTACATTTTAACTTGCACTAACGGTAAAGGAAAAGATCATGATGAAACCTGCTTAACCGGGAGGGTCACAAAATTGTTTGAACATCTGGGAAGTCCTCCAGCCTTCAAGGAATTTAGGGACTACCCTCGGGGGATGTTACAGAAGTTCCTCGTGCTAGATTAGGCTAAAATGGTGCGGAGTTAAAAAGTAATAACAACATTTTAATAAAAAAAAAGATCTCAAAAGATTTATGGAATTACATCCATTTCCTAAGTTTTATTGATAATTAAGTGGAAATTTTTCCGTTAATTATCAATAAAACTTAGCCCTTCACCCTTACAGATGAAATATTTTCTTCAAATTTAAATGGGAACACTACCGAAGTACCCTTTTAAAAAACTGAATCATCGAAATAGGTTCACGAATGTCAGGGTAATTGCGTAAAATACACACAAAAATAAAACAATCGAATTCGACTCCTGAACCGCCTTCTTTTGAAGTGGGTTAACTACGTGTTCTAATCAAGAGATTAGAAGACCCGTGGATTTAGTTATAACCGTTTCAATTTTTCAGCGGTGTCAAACATACAGTGCGCCACACATCTACGGACCATGCCAATGGGTTGCTCTGGTTGATCGAGCAAGTGCCTCATCTCACGCATGCTCAAGATCTGACCATCGCTTTCCTTAACCAGAGCTACTGGGCGACCTATGGAATACCACTAAACCATGTAAGGTTACAGACACCTTTATCTTAGTGTTGTCCAGTCATACTCAACCGCATGCTATACTCGACCTGTGTTCCGCATGTCATGTAGGTACGGTCCGAAACATTACTATTGTGGGACTTTTTAAAACTATGAGTTTCTAAGTTTTTTTCAATCTTGAGCGAGATATATTTAGATTTTCTGTTTGAATATATTTAGGGTGTATGTTCTATTGATTGACAAGGAGAATAAATGTAACATGTGGTCCTTATTAAGTAATCCTATAATACCTAAAACAACTGTGTAACATAGTAAACATATGTATGTGGTCCGAAGAAAAAAAAGATTGAATATAGTTGGTGTAGTCAATAATACGCTTGTCGAACGCCATTGACAGCGCAATCTGTACGGCTACATACACAGCTTACTTACAATATAATTAATACAAAATCGTCGGATAACTAATGGCAATAACTATCAGTACCTTATTGACCGACGACATATTTATTATGTAGTGTAATAGTACTACGCACATTTTAAATAATCATTATGTTTTACAGAATATCTCCAAAATAACACACGTCACAAAAATGCAAGAACAGTATGGTGAAATCTTTTCATACTGGGAAACGCCTAGAGCACTCGTATTCAAGCAAGGTTACGAAAATGCAATTTCCGTCCAGAGTATCATCGACTTAATGAGAGAAACTAACCTTACTGCGATTGATATTAAAAACGACACTTGCAAGGAGAATGAAGTTGAATGCATTATGAAAGAGGACGGGTATTGGTCCGTGGTGGGAGTGCGGGGGGATATCGTTAACAGTCATCGCCAACCATATGGAGTTATTGATACAAAAGTTATCAGCGGTAAGTGTTTGTGAAAACACTTCAAACTTTAACCCGTCTGTGGACAATAACGGCGTTTACCTTAAAATTAAATGTCAGAACATGATGTGTACGTGGTGCCCCGTTTCGCTATAGCAAATTATTATAATAGTTCAGTATTACAATAAGAGGTGGCCGATTAAACGAAAAACACCTAAAAAAGTTTGCTTTTTAAAATAAGCACTTAAGCACGCTTTTTATTTTAAGTGTAAGCGTTGGTCAGTTCTACACTCAACAATTTCATTTTTTATAACGTGGCTAAGATTTCAAGTCCCACCATTTATGTTCCCTAAACAAATAAATTCGTCAATGTAAATAATAATTAATAATATTTTACATAAAAATAAAAATCGTGTTTTACAAATAAACTTACTTACTTAAAACCTTTAGTGGTCTACCCTGCCTTTTAGCTGTCAACACAACGTTGCAAGCTTTTTTTAACATAAAAGTCTATGCGCTTAAACGTTTTTCTAAAAGATTTTTTAAGATTCAAACTAATAAGCGTTTAAATGAAAAGCGTCTAAAAAAGGACGCTTTTTAAAAAGCTACGACGTTTAAACGTTTTAAAAATAAGCAGTTTTTCCCATCTCTTATTACAATAGCAGTCAACAAACTTCATATTACAACTATTAAAGCGACATCTCTAGTCAGCCGCTGGTAGCTATAAAGGTACCTGACTGAGTGAAGAAAAACTTTCATAGATTTCTCACAGATGGCACCACGGCAAAAAGTCGTTAAAAAAACAAAAACAAAGATCTGTAACAAGCGCACAGAAAAAATCGTTGGGTATGCTGATTCGCTACGTAGCTTAGTGGGGGAGCGTCGGCCTGATATACCGAAGACGCTGGTTCGAATTCAGCCGGACAGAATGAATTTTTTTCTGTGTTCGATCTTTGTATTAATAATTATAACAATCCAGATAATATCTCTATAAGTCTATTTCGCTAAAAATGTGGATTACGTTAGTTATGATAAGGAGGGCAGAATGGATTTTATGACAACTTTTCAATTAGTAGAAGACATGAAAATTCTAATAACCCATTCTTAACAGGTACTACCAATTCCCTCGATATGGAGTTCGTCGCGATCTCCGGACCTCCATACACAGAAGAAATAAAACGACTCAACAAAACCGAAATTAATAAAGGCAACGTAGCAACAGTGTACACCGACCAGTTCAACAACAAGTCTACCATCAACGGCCTGGAGATACACAACTACGTCCAGGAACAGAAGAAACAACGCGAGCAAGACGACTTTGAACGCCTTAACAAAAACAACGTTAAGCCCTTCGTGTGGTCCGAAACTGATTTTGACATCGAAGCTCACGACAAAATGCCAGACAAATGGGCGTTCGGACTCTACAAGCCAAATTGGTCGTGGTGAATCTCTCAAATTCTTAACTTAGCAAACATAATAATTTATTTGTAATTCTCAGTCGTTTTAGAATTTTATATTAAGACCGGTTTTTCCGTTTGTAATTAGTTTTAAAGAATCGTACGAATCCTTGAACGCCAAGGTAATTTTACATCGATACATAGTGGTTTTTAAAGGTGTAATGTTGCCAAAAATGAACTACTTATTATTTATAATAATAAATAAAGTACTTATTTATTTATTATATGTGACTTGTTGAACTGGTCAGAATAATTTACATAGGTAACTTCCTACTCATTGCATAAATAAAATAACAATCGTCCAATGAATTGCTCATTTCGTTTTTTTAAATTCAGTGTATTGTGTATTGTTTAGAATTATTTATTGGATTTATGTTGTTCTCGTCTTTTTGTATATTTATGAGTTAGTAGAAAAAAACAGCAACGTTTTGCTTCTTTTTATTATTGTTAGTCTCAGACACTAAATCCATCATCGATTACTTATGCCGTTAGTACTTACCTACTAATAATTAGGAACCAATTAGAAAAAATGTGTATTAGTTTGTATTCACGTTTTTTTAATAAAAATGAAGTGACCTGAACTATAAAAAATAAATAGATTGCTATCGGAAATAAATAAATGTTTAGAAAAAAGATTTTTATTTTATATTTACCACGTAAGTACTTATCTACTTACTGTCTCAACTCTAAAAAACTACACGTAGCAAGCACAATGTTTTAATCCGTGTTTAAAAATATAGTTGCAGTTGCAATTCACAGATTGAAGATAGCAGCATTATAGCTTCATCAGAACAAAATACTTTTCAACAATAAACAGTAGCAATTTTCAGTTCTTTTTGTTTGCTCTGAAAACACAATATTCCCCGCAAACACTTTGTTAAGTATAAAAAGTATTCAAATAGATTGTGTTTCTATTTAACGGCTTTAAAAATTGTCGGCAATTCTTAAGTACGGCTCACATAAGACGGTCCTTTTCATACAATTATTATTATTAGTAGCTGTAGAACTCCTTGTTCGTCCAGGGAAGTAACTCCCACCTTACCTATTTCTGCGGCCAAGCAGTAATGTTAGCATTGCTGCGTTCCGGTTTAGACGGGGTAAGGCTGGTAAAATTACAGACACATGGGACTTGTCAACTTGTGTCTCAGGGTGACGGGCGCAGAGGTATTGGCCCTCGGATCTTTGCAATTTAAAGCTCTGAGTGGCAGTGTAACTGTTACGGACAGGCGTGTAGCTTAATATCAGGCGCACGACTTCTTCGTCCCGTCACTTGTTATAAAAAAAATACATAATAATAAATATAATACAGCTTTCTTGCTCGGCTGCTCCAGAGCAAACCCAGTAGCGACAAATTTTTTGAAAAGAATTTTTAACGAAATATTTATTATTACTTACTCGGGTGACAGCCGGTTCAAAATTCTACAATTTATTAGAGATTTTGAGAAACCTTAAAAACCTACTAAGGCACACTTAGGGTCGTATTCTAGAACTCTACTCAATGCTTAAGTCAGGACTTCAGTATGATTCAAAGCACTAGAAACCATACTCAAGTACCTGCCATTAGGGTCGTATTTCCAGTCTGTTTTTATTTATTATATATATTTTTATATATATATTTATTAGTCTGTTTCTTGACCAATCAAAAATGTTTTAACTCACTTTAACCAATTCAAAATATAGCAAGTATTTAATACTTGCTAGGTTATAAAGTAGTTAAAGTGTCTTACTAGGCCAATGAGACTTTACTGACACTGAAAATATTACTCGTTTTATTAATTGATTTAGTCATACAAAATCAAATTTTTTTCCAAATTTTTTAATGCAATAAAATAACTAAACCAAATTCCTAACAAATGGCTCTTAATTCTGGCTACTACAGTAACTTTACTTAAGTAGGTACTTTAATTAATATTTAAAGTTAGTAAGGGTATAAAATATTATGTAATAATTTACGTTGTGATCATTTTGCCACATCAATATATTCGTTGATTGGTGCCCTACCTAATACTGTCACTTTTTTAAAAGGAAAGTTCATTGTGTTCTTGGGTACACCTGTAAATTTTGTTTAAAGCAATAAGAGCCTATGCACACGGCGTATTTTATACGTGCGGATAACACGCGTTTCACGAATGTGTGTATACGCGTAGAAAACGCGTATATACGTAATTAATCGATACAAACGCGCGCAAACATCGCGTTGCAGGCAAGAAGTTTATATACTCCATTGGAGTTTACTCTTAGAATTTCGTGTAGTTACTTTATTTCAAAAAATTAATAGAAATGAACAAACAAAACTAAAATTAAAATTATCTCTTATCAAAATGCCCGATATAGACGCGCTGTAGTCGTACGTATGTATCGCGCATTATAATGCGTATACGCGCAGATGATGCGTGTTTACGGCGCTTAGAAAATACACCGTGTGCATGGCATAGGCTTTAAGTAGGCATTAAGTAGGTACATACTAGGTTTTGTAATGGGGCAGCCGTGTTGTCTTTATTACAATTAATTACAGTGTCGTTTCTTTGGCGGGAATTTGAAGTGAAAGGACATTAAAAGTTTCTGGATTTAAAATATTCAATTAAGCTCAACATAGCTGGTTGTATCTGTACCATTTACCGGTTATTATACGGATATAAGCAATGATATGACAGCATTACGGAAAAATATCTGGAAGAAGAATCAAGATTTAAAAGGTATGGAAGCGTACAAACATAAATACCTAATAGGCCGTTTTCAAGATTCAACGTCTTTTATTAGCAAGTGAACTAAGTGATTTAAGTGAAAGGGAAAACATGAACAATGACTCCTGCTGCATAAAAGACAATTTAAAATACCCAAAGTAATTTTTGCACTGTTTTATTCATTTATTTCCATTTATTTCCTTCAAGATCAATGTATTTCCTTAACAAAATAGATTGTGTTGGAAAGAAAACACAATTACAAAAAAAAACTTACATCAAATACAAAATAATAAGAGACAGAACATAATTTAATATTCTTAACAAGTTAACAAGTCATTAATGCAAAATAATGATAATTATAATACAATAATAATAACAATGTGAAATTAGATATCCCTATTACGTTGAAAAATAAATTAGATTAATGTCAAGTCTCCAACAACAAATTCATCGATGCAATAAAATGATTTCTTTATATAAACAATAGAAAATCCCGAAAACAAGCCGAATATTAATGAAGGCTCGCTGAAAGGAATGACATATCCAAGCCAAAAAAAAATACAGAGTCAGAAGTGTCAATGTCATATGTGTCAATTTCGTTCGTGTAAAGGAATGCATTTTGTTTTGTGTTAGTCATCCGTTAGACTGTTATTATTTTGTGATATTTTTAACGAAATTCTGGTGTTTTCCATCTTCATTAGGTATAGATATATAAAAAAATATGGATTGGTTCAAAAAGACACCAACCGTGAAAGGTATGTTTGTATTTTTTAGGTATATAAAGTGCGCTCCCTTATCTTTTCTTAAATTTTACGCTTTTCCTTAAAAATGAAACAAATTTTACAAGCATTTATGATATATTAATGATTATTTAAGATATCTACGCATCTGTACTTTGAATTAATTGAAATTACGACTAGCTACAACAACTTGGTGATACAATAAATTAGCTCCATGAAAGGTCTTGAGTAATGCAATTATTTGTGCTATAGTATTGAAATTAAAATAATAATTTATTTTTGTATAGCACAATGATATTGTAAAATACTTGAGTTTACTGCTCCAGTAATAAAGATTTTTTTTTAAAGTAAACAATGACTCACCATCTCAGTGTCACTAATGAAATGACTCTTTGACATAGTGAATTATAGAAACGCACGTATAGAAATAGGAACATACACTAAATTTTTCTAGAAGACCTAAATACACTAAATTTTTCTAGAAAACCTAAGTATATAAAATGTGTCATAGGAGAGGCAGAGGTACCTTGTGGTAGATTTCTAAAAAGAAAAGAATTCTTGCAAATTATCTGCGAATCTGCATGCTACTCAAAGGTGACAATGAGTTATTTCTGCCTATATACTGAAGGTCCCACAGAATAAATGTGTATAACATGTTACATACCATCAATATGACATAATGAACCTTGTGTCATTATTCTAGTGCTTTTTTTTGATATTCTTCGTGTTAGGGCTTTTAAATATTAATTCTATTAAGAATTTACTAAGGTTTTTATTTAATAATAAGTGATGAGATGAACAAGTCATGGGCCTGATGGTATGTTACATGCCCGTCCATAACAGTTGCAGTGGCACTCAGAGCTTTAAGTCGCAAAGATCTGAGGGGCTCTGCCACTGCACCCGTCACCCTGAGACATAAGTTACCAAGTCCCATGTGCCTGCATTTCCCCACCACCCTTACCTTTCAAAACCGGAAAACAGTAATGCTGACATTACTGCTTGGAGGCAGAAATAGGTATGGTGGCAGTACTTCCCTGGATGCACTCTTTCACAAGGAGCTCTACTGCTACTACATTAGATAAATTACAAAAACTAAATCTATAAGATGTGTAAAATATAAATGGTTAAAAATTTTGAAAATGGTCCCCAAGTACCCTGTGTAGATTATGTTATTTATTTAGACACAATGTACAATACTAAAAAATTAATTTAATACTACAACAGATGACAATTGTGCACAACATTGAAATGAAACAGATTTAGTTAAATATTCTATTTAAAAATCAAAATGCATGTTTATAAATTTTAAAAAGTGTGAGCAAATAAATTAAAAATCCACAAAAAATAAGCTAAATGAACGCACCTAGTTTTGAGCTTTCATAGACGCTGTAAATGATTTTAAAGATTGGTGGAATGTATCTATCTCAGTGCTAAGCTTATTATAATTCCTGCACAAACTAAACAACAGATCATTGTACAACACGTTGTATGTTGTTAGTGGCACATAAAAAGTTTTTGCATGCGGTATCTTTCAATCATAATCCCAACCCGATCTAACAATTCACTAGCATCCCACACAGAGTTAACCAATTTATATAACACGGCAAAGCTGTGCGAAGAGCTTCTACTCTCTAAGCAGTCAATTTTTAAATACTTTGACCTATGTTCGTATGATGAGTGCCTACATCTTAAACCTAGTTTAGTGCTTAAATGTCTCAAGAAATGCTGCTGTATAGATTCAATTCTACTTTTATGCCGACCGTAATATGGAGACCAAATCACTAAGCAATACTCCAACACACTTAGAATCAATGCATTATATAAAATAACATGCTGCATGGATCTTTGAATGGCCGCACAGACCTCATTAGAAAACCCATAATTTTATTGCACTTTGACACTATATAGTCATAATGCTGTCTAAAAGAGAGATTGGAATCAATCCACACTCCCAGATCTTTTATTGCTGTCTCACATTTTAATTCTATTTTATTTATGTTGTATGTGTATTGTAAAGGATTCTTTTTGCGTGTAAATGTTAGTAAATGACATTTGCTTTCGTTAAACGACATATTATTATTTCGACACTAATCTGAGAGCACGTTAATATCACCTTGCAGCGCTAAACAATCTGTAGTCTCTACGATTTTATTAAAAATCTTTATATCATCGGCATATGCTAGACACTCACTGCTGATCAATCCCAATAGATCATTAATGAACAGTATGAATAGCAATGGGCCCAGATTAGAACCCTGTGAAACACCAGACAGCGGCTGAAAGGGAATCGAATCGGATCCGTATACAGTCACCAGCTGAATTCTATTAATTAAGTAAGATTCCAGCCAACGCAACAGATTACCGTGTATTCCAAGGCGATGATCTTATGACAGAGTATTTTGTGATCTACCCTGTCAAATGCCTTCGCGAAGTCTGTGTATAGTGAATTTAAATATTGTTCCTTCATTATTTTTTGTTCATAATCAAGGTACCTATACTACATATATACCTATTAGCGTTTCAAAAGCATAATTTGAAATACAGTCTGCAGAGGCTCAGACATATGCACTTCAGATAATTGCAAAACTTTATGATTGTGACACTGCACCAAATAGCTTCATGATTGTGACACAGTACTAATTGGCTCTAATTGTCTAACACATGACCAATTGGCCGCTCAAGTAGTGGTAACCATGTAAATGGAATGCCACATTTACAAACATGTATACACATAATGTAGTTGTACTTCAATATGTCTTCCACAAGAGGTCTCTAATTAATTTCTAGATTTTTTTTAACTACAATACAATACAAAATTATGACATATTTTGTGTACAAGTAACAATTCTTTTCGGTTAGACAGAGAACAAGAACATGAACCTCGTGTTTCAGTAGACATTATGGGACCTATGCAACGCATTTTGGGTATTGTTCTTTTCAAGTAATTTGTATTGGCCTGTTAGGCCCGTAGTTGGTCTTTCATTAACTAGTCATTACGTTGTTTGAGGTCAATTTGTACTCTATATTATATTTAGTGCCAGTATACAGGTAAAGGTATGCTTAGTTAAGAGACTGTTAACGTAAATTGTAATTATTAATACAAAGATTGAACCTTCAGACAAAATTCCTTCGATCTGGCCGGATTCGAACCGACGTCTTCTAGCATACCTTATGGCTTCTGGCAAGACGCTATACCAACTAAGCCATGGAACGAACCAGCGGACCTCACGAATTATTGTACGTGCTTGCGTCGTATCTTTGTATTTGGTTTTTCAACGACGTTTTAGCCGTAGCGCCATCTATGACCGTCTGGCACGGTGTGCTAGAAGACGTCGATTCGAATCCGGCCGGATCGAAGGAATTTTTTTCTGAGTGTTCGATCTTTGTATTAATAATTATAACAACCTAATGGAGTAATTTCACAAAAAATAATTGAATATCATTTCAATAAAAATTTAATGTTAATTATTGTTTACAACACACAATAATTAACTTTTAAGTTTCACCATAGTGTGCCTTTACTATTGTATTGACATAATCATTCAAATTAAAATTTATTTGTAAAAATGGGACTTCGGCACTTCTATTACCAAGCCACAGATATGTAAAGGGGTTTAGTCTTGCATTATAATTATCATAGCCATATTTCCATCCAATTATCCTGAAGTCACGAAGGGTTGCTATGAACCCTAATGAAATAACAGGAAAGTTTAATTTCTTGTTGCTATTGATTCATATACATGTTTCGTAAAAAGTAGATAGTACCTAGTTCTTGGGAAGGACGTAAATATGTGGAAATTGAATAGGCTTTATTATTATTATTTTAACTTCTATGTGTATTTAGATGTACTTACTATTAAAAAGTTAGAATACCCTAAAAATTGATCACATAATATCAGATTGGATTGAATATTTCAGAACAACAGCGACAAAATGATCGTGAGCTGCGCAAGGCGAGCCGCGATCTCGAAAGAGACAAAGCGGCTTTGGAGAGGGAGGAAAAGAAATTGGTAACTACTAACTTGTTGTAAAAACAATAAAACACTAGTGATGCCTAAACAGAAGCGCGATGAAATCGATTTATCTTTGATCGATTGATTTAATGACTATAATTAGTTACATCTTAGGATAAGCTGAAAAGTTTTAGAATATTGTCTATTCAGAATTTTATTTAATGCGTATATTTTTCTAGGAAATGGAGATTAAGAAATGTGCAAAAGAAGGCAACAATGACAGCTGCAAAATATTAGCTAAACAGTTAGTCCAACTAAGGAAACAAAAAACTAGGATGTATGCAGCTAACAGTAAGGTAACTAAGCTATTTTGTTATTTGTATATAAGCACCGCTTTTTATCTCTTGGGAACATGCATTTTTGTCTTTCACTGTTTGTTGTGTGGTCTTATGTTTGTGGGCGGTGAACAGCTGATTTCAATACCTGCAGCTTAACCATCTAACTTGAAAGTCATCCTGATATTTTTGACAGTGAAAAATCATTTGCTGTGTTAAAATTAGAGATGAAACGAATAGTGATTTGGCCGGATACCGGATATACGGCGAGCATCTAGGCCCGATAGCCGGATATCTGACCCACTGCAGTAAACATGTCGCGACTGGTTTACAGCGCTCATTGCCATGATTGATTGATTAGTGAATAATTGCACTTTCATATTGACAATTTGATTTGTCGTGATAATTTCGTTTTTATAAAATACTTACTTTATTCAATAATAATAAAAAATGTTAACTGTGAGTTATTAATACGAAATTTTAATATCAATGTTGTTTGTTTGTTGTGCCGAATGCAAGTTTCTCGACGACGAGACGGAAAAAAGCATATGAAATTGCATTTCGAGTTCTTAGATTTTCGCGATTGTTACACATAGGAAATGAAACTATTTTTCCGGATTTGTGATGAACCGATGTTTCGGGCCCTTTACAGTTTCCATGGACACGGTTGACAGAGGTACGGTTTGTTTGAAAAAACAAATATACTTATATATATTTAATATTAAATTAATATATATTATATATATATATATATATATATAAATATAATTTAAATCCGAAAAAATAGTTCAACTACATCATTCTTTGGCTATATTAAAAATTCTTATGTTATAAGTATAAGCCTGGCATTTGATACGCAGATATATACGCATAATAAACAGATTGTCAACGAATCTGTAGTTGCTGTGTATCACGTTACTATTATCTTTAATCAATAAATCAATTTATTTGGCGTACTGATTATGAATTTTTCTCAGTTTTAAACATTCGGTGTCCGGCCGGATATTGTTATACTATCCGGTACCCGGCTGGAAAGTAAATATACGCCGGATAGGCCGGATACCGGATAGTTACCGGATATCCGTTTCATCTCTAGTTAAAAAGTCTGAAATCCTTTAATTTCCCATTAGATGTTTTCCTGCTTTGGACGTGGGTTTTGGGGCAGCTCTGGGATTAAATAATGCAATTATGTAACATATTTTAACATTTCAAGTAATTAAATAATAATAATATTAATTTTGCCTATTCGTTGCAGATAGCCAGTGTCCAAGTTCACAATAAAGCGATGGGGGCGAACATAGCTATAGCGGGTGCAATGGGGACTACAGCAAAGACAATGGGCAACATCAATAAAGTGCTCAATCCGCACCAGATTGCCAAGGACATGGAAGGTTTCAAGCAGGCCAATGCTAAGATGGATATGACCGATGAGATGAGTAAGTACCGTATAAGATGATCCTTCAAAATTATCTGAAACTATTATCATCTCATTTTGGTTAAGTAGATTTGAAAAGCTGATTTCTCTCGAGATTTCAGAGGGCTCTCCATTAATATGTTAGTAATGAAGTTACACTTCGGGTCCTTGTAAATTTATTTAAATCGCTAAAGATACTTCAGAAAAATTGTCTTTATTTCTAAACGTTGCTATATGGCTGTACTTATGTTCGACTGCTCGTAACACTCGTATATAGTTTGATGATTTTTTTTAGCAGCACATTAAGCTACACATTGATGGATTTTTTTTTCATTGCACTGGACCCGATATTTGCAACAAAAGTGTATAGCTTGACATGCTGTTGACTGTACATAAAATTGTATGTGATAATAAATGGCTGGAGATGGTTTTCACTCAGAACACAAACTGTACAAAAAAAATTGTAGTCAATGAAAAGGAAGATGTGGCAAGATAATTTATTTTCCGAGTATTTTCTCCACTCAAGCTTCCTCTTAGATGTGAAGCTCATCCAGATGTAACCTGGAAAAGCCGTGGTTTCAGAGTGTCAATGTTTTTAAAAAAGTTGTTGTTTCTGTTACTGTTGAAATTCAGCTAAATTACACTTAAGTTTGTCACAGATAATGAGAATACGGGAAGGTTTTATGTATGTAACTCGTAACGTTTGTTATCGTAAGATGTTGTAAGATGTAACATCATGACCATCTGTGGGTGTAGAGCGATAATGCGAAATATCGCACGGAAACAAAATACTGTCGCAATTCAAAATTGTCGAATTAAAAAAATTCGTTATGAAAGTTCAATAATCTCAGTACAGACTACTTAAAAAACCGACCTCAAAAGTACGTGGAATTTCATCTATTTGGCAAGTTTTATTGAAATATCCCCTAGTTCACCACTATACAGGACTTGACACATGAGATAATAAAAATCGGTTCTCACTACTCAAAGTATATTGAGAGAGAAAAACGCCTTGAATTGGAGAATGGAGAAGCAAAATCAACCATTAAACTAATTGCTCTTTATAGTAAAATTTAGGCGCTATTTATAAAAATGAATGTTCATGCGTGATCAGCCACCCTTAGAGGTGGATGAATTTCTTCGAAATGAAATGGAACCACTATGGAGGTACCCTCTTCCCAACAAAAAAAGAATCATGATAATCGGTTCATAAATACCGGAGTTATCGCGTAACATATATACAAAAAAAAAACAGTCGAATTGAGAACCTCCTCCTTTTTTTGAAGTCGGTTAAAAATTTACTAAATGAAATCAATTAATTTATATTATTACGTGTAAATAAAATAATCACATAATTAGCAAAAAGATCCATTCAGTATTTTTTTTAATTTCAAATTGTGTTTTCTCAATTCCACCAATTTTTTAGTTATTACAGTATTAGTTGCAAGTGCAATATGTTGTATGTTACATTTAAATTTTAAAGTAATTTTGTATATAGGAATGAAACTATTTTTCCGGATTTAAATCTTGTATAGTAAATTTTGTATAGTATCTTTATTTTCTGTGGCAGGCTTTAAAGTCCGTTCCATAATGTTTCAAGCATGGTGTATACAGTTTCAGAAACGCTGGATGACATAATGGACGAGTCCGATGACGAACAGGAGTCCGAGAGAGTCATTGGCCAAGTGCTCGACGAGATTGGTATCGAGGTCAGCGGCAAGGTGAGATATTTTTTTTTTCATTAGCTTCCTATTTGTTATGGGACTTTATAATGAGAACAAAACGTGATTATACAGGGCTTCAATATTGTTAATTTTAAATCATCTCAGTTGTGTGTCGATAGAGTGCAATGGCAGAACGTTTGGCATCATGTTATAAGTTAACACTAGTGGCTTATCAATGGTTAGCCATCAAACTATTATTTAATTGCTGTTGCATTTTTTTCGTGTTCTGACTTGAAGAAACTACATTTAATTTGAGGACTGAATTGCAGATTAAACAAGACAATAATTGTAACTTTAAAAAAAACCGACTTCGAAAGTTCGTTCTTCGTGTTTATGGCGCCGTAAACACGCGTCATCTGCGCGCATGCGCGCCGCAGATGCGCTCGCGCGATGAGATCGCGTTGCAAGCAAGACACTTATATACTCCACTGGAGTTTACACTTAGAATTTCATGTAGTTGCTTCATTTAAAAAATTTACTGAAATTAACAAACATTTATAATTAAAACTATCTCTTATCAAAATGCGCGATACATATGCGCGACTACAGCAGATGACGCGCGTTTATGGCACGTAAAAGCCCGCCTCTCTTAGAAGTAAGGAAGTATGTTTAATAATATTGCAAATCGGCAAGTGACAAAATATTTTTTTGAGATATGTAAAACCCATAATCCAGTTTTAGAAAATTCAAATTGTGTAATGGTATTTCAGCTATGCATCGTTAGGGTAAGTTCCGATAAGTCGAACACGTGAACTAATTTTAACTGTTTTTAAAAGAGACTTTTGTGCTCTATCTTTTTCTGTTTAAAACGGTCATTTGACCATTTGCCACTTAGCCGCATTTTGGTTAGTGGATTACAAGGATTATACTGAGCCTGTTCCTTCCACGCACTGTTGTTGTTCCCACAATATTGTTATATTATTATGTTCTGTACGTATTACTGTGTGTGGTAAATAAATGGTTTAAATGTCGATTAGTGTAGAGCCTTACACATTGGCCTTTACGAGCGATTTTAAATCGAGGCGGGTTCGTCGTGAGTTCGCAGCGACAACGCCGCGGGTGCCTGGCGATATGCGAGCAATTTGAAAGATCCCGCTGCGCTGTCGCGTCGCTTTCAAGTCGTTCGCAAATCGCCAGTGTGATAAGTCTTAAGAGTGAGCAGAAGATAAATTCCTAATCTTCGATTTGATTTTAGAGGGGTATATCCACTTTAAAGTTAAAAATAAAATATTGTATGAGTAACTACACGATATATTCAAGCATAGACATTAAATCAGAAACATAAAACAATAAAGTTTTCTCGATAGATCAAAATCACGAAATGACCTCTAAGTTTCACATTTTTTCGATTTGTCCTCGAAATGTTACAGGTTATTAGGACAATAATAAGATAATTAATTATATTTATGCATGATCGACAACTGTCACTACGGTTTTTTTTTTGGTACGAATTTGGTACTTTTAATGCGCAAAATTCAACATCTCCTGTCGCATGTCACGCGAACTTCAGGCATATATTTGTTTCACAAATTTGGGCGGAGCCAACGTCAAGACATTTTTTGGCATGAGAGCTCTTATAAACGATCCAAAGTGGTTGACGTACTTAGTCATGTGGTTTCTGAACTGTGTATAATTAATTGTACCATATGCACACACTACCTTGTCTTTTTTGTAAATAATAATATAGGTACATAAATAGTTTGCTTGTTTGATTTTCAGATGGCTAATGCTCCGTCAGTGGCAGGGAAAGTTGGCGAATCGACTAAAACGGCCGATAGAGAATTAATGGAGCAACTCGCCAGACTCAAATCGTAGGGTCAGACCACAGTTGGTTAATTTAGGGAGGTCGCGCACTAATTATCCAAATCGAAGACTCGGCTACATAGTCCTGTCCAATGGTGGTCTCACAACCTATGATCTTATTTAAATAAATTAAAAAAAAAATTGAAAAATACATTTATCTATCCATGAAACACAATATCGGTACACAAGTATACAATAAAGATGAGTAATGTTAGACAGGTTGACGAAGTTCACCTTGACTATATAAAATATAATGGGTGTCTGTGTTATATTTTATAAAAAAATTGTTTTATATAAAAAAAAAATAAATTTAGTGCCTCTAGGAGATAGTTAGATACTGAATCTACTACCTATTTTGACAAAATTATATACTTATTATTACAAAAATGAATACTTATTAATTTTAATAGGGCGCCGCAACAAACAGCTGAGTAAGTTCATCAGTGAACCGCAATTCAAAATAAATTTGCTTTTATTAAGTGCGAAATGTCGATACGGTTGTAATTTTTTATTACAAAAAATATACTTAAATACATTTCTCCCTTTCCTGACAACATATCGTAACAGCGCAACTATTTTTTAACACATAGAATCTAGATCAACTGTAAGTTTGTGTCAAACATGTTCTAGCAATGAGTTGTTTTCGTATATAAAAACGGTAGATTTCGCTTTTGAAAGCCGTGTAAAGTTGTCTTACTACGATGCAGGTGTACAGGAATCTCGTCAGATGCCTGTAAATCTCAGGCTATAAAAAAACGAACTTTGACTTCCAGTACGCAAAAACGGCGAGCTAATTAAGTATTTCGTACTTATAAAACGAACTTTACCTAAGTTTAAGCAAAATGTTAAATTAAACTTTGTGTTAACTTCGAAATTGTTTGCTTAAACTTGGGCAAAGTTCGTTTTATAAATACGAAAAACTTGTTTAGCTCGCAATTTTTGCTTAGTCGAAGTCGAAGTTCGTTTTATAAATCTCAGATTTGAAATATATTCCTATTCAATTCATTTATTCATTCATTATTACAGGTATATGGTATAGATGATAATATTTTTTGGAATGTCTGCCATAGGCCAAAATGGCATACAAAGTCAATTAAATAAAAAATGCAATGTCACACAAAAACAAAGGAAAAATAAATAATAATAATAATAGGTACAATGTCACAAAAGTCTAATAATATTAATAACTAATCGGTACCCAACTGCCAGCATGGTGACATTTAACTATTTTAAGAATACTTAAACTGTCATTGAAATATTCTTCTATGTTGTATTAATTTTTCATTTTCTATTTTTAGTGGGCAACATCAATATAGTGGGAAAAATTGTACTTGATGCTTAATACATTTTTATTATCCAGAGTTGTTTTATCGTCCTCGTCCATTTAGTACTTCAACCATTCGAGTTTCAACCATTGCTGTTCAAAAAATTGTAAGAACACTATTGATGTTATGAGTATTGATATCATTACAATCGACCCATCACGACGCCTGTCAATTTAATTTGGTCGCATTTACATAACTAGCTTTATAATAATTGCGAACTTGAAGACGTTTAAACAAATACGAATTAATAAGTTAATTGAGATTATCGATGTCACCGGTTATTGCCGGGTATTGCTGTTTCAACAGATTTTTTCTCCACATGTTATTAAGTTATAAAAATAAGATTATGCATTAGGCAGTTTTTTGAGAGAAACCTATTTTCGGTCTAGCACTTTACATGTTGAGGTTTAGCTTAAGTCAAACTGGTTCCCTCGACGAACTAAATTAATGTATTAAATAGCTAAACATTCGACGACTGCGGGAGATGGTTCGTTTTTTAAATCCGATTAAAATCGTCACGCTGAGGTTTAAAAAACTAATTTTGAGTTCGACTAAGCTAAAATGGCGAGCTAAGCAAGTTTTTCGTGCGTATTAAACGAACTTTGCCTATTTAAGCAAGAAATGACGTAGTAAACTCTAAAGTTTTTTAAAATATTTTGCTTAAGCTTAGGTTAGGTTTATAAATACGGAAAACTTGCTTATCTCGCCATTTTTGCTTAGTCGAACTCAAAGTTCGTTTTAGGAAACTCGGCCTTAGTTACGATAATAATGTCACATTTCGTCGGCTAAATTCATCAACTCGCACCTCCAGTAATGTGAACTTTTGAATAAGCACAAAAAAAATTAAATGCAAAAAATTATAAAAGTTATAGGACTGTCTATGATTATATCTTTATTTTGATGTTGTGTATACTTATATAACTAAAGGTAACGGTGCAATCGTATACAAAGGCACAGAAAATATATTTTAAGGTTGATTGTCCGATATTGCGCTTAAAGAGGAAAAAGAGAATGTCGTCTAAAACGGAGTTACGAGGTTTTCAAATTTATCCGACAATATGGCAGTCATTAGGGCCAATTTTTTTATAAACATGAACTACTTTTTGGGTACAGTCGTTCTTAGAATACGTATTGTAATTACGCGATCTGAACTACCAAAAAATATGTATTGACGTGTAATGCCGACTGTACTTTAGAAGCATACTTTCAGGCTCAATTTACATTGGAACAGAATGCAAGCGAATTTTTCTAACGAAAACATAGCATAACGAACTTAATGTCAATTTTGTAACGTACAAACTAAATTCAATATCTGCGGGAATTCCGAGGTTATGTGAGAATTTTCCGGACGAAGCGTGACTTGCGACACTGCTTCTCGGGGTTGTATCAAGTTTGTACGTTAAACAATTGACATAAAATAGCTTCTTAAATTGAGCTTTAGACTTAATGTTGGTTGTAACCAAATACAATGTGAATTATAATATCCATCCGTTAATGTATATTAAATTATCAATTAAGTTATTTAGGTGTTATAAAAAATTACTTAATTATATGAATATTTATCTCGCACCAACTTTTATATAAAAATAACGGTGTTGTTAAATGTTTTAAACACTATATTTAAATGTACATATAATGTAAAAATAAATATCTGTGATATTTTTGTATTATATGATACAACGTTATGGGAGTTTCATTTTTAATTTACCTGTTATCATATTTTTTTATGATATGTTTTTTTCCTTTTTGATCTCTATCTCAACTCTCACGATTCCAAGCCACCATTTGCGATTGACCTTGATGCAACGCTGGTATACTTCAAATTTTGCATTTTTGCACTTTTGCCGACTAGAACCGGCTAAATGGCGACTTTTTACTTTTACTGACTAGTAATATTTTAAATGCTCTATAGTATACAGGGTTTAAGTGCGTCCAGGCGATTATTCTATAAATATAAGAGATATCAAAAAGCTTTAAACTGATATCGAAAGTACGTTACTTAATGAGTAAATCGAATTCAATAACTTTCTTAAAATAAAACTAGAAATATCCTAAATTTTAACATTAAACGCTCCCATACATTTAATATGACATTCGTAGAGCTTTATTTTTTGAGACAGATAGATATAAATGATAGAGAGGCTTTAGTTTTCCTGTTGTACGAGGTAACAATGAGTTAACAGGTAATAAAACTGATGTAAATAAAGTAATAAAACTATCTTGTAATTGAATAAAAATATGATGGCATAGTCATTTATTTCGTCAAGTGTGAGTTGTCCATTAAAATGAATAAAATTGATAATTCTTTTGTGGCGATTGACTCAGTTTCATGTAATGATTATTTCATTGTGCGGGACGTAAAAAATCAGGACTGCAGAAGTTGATCAAATTTAATCAATTTTTTTTTCATATTTCTTAAATTTAACTCGACTTCACTCACTGCTGGGTATATATAAAGCATTAGAGATCCTTGTGAAAGAGTGCGTCCAGGTAAGTACTGCCTTACCTATTTTTGCCGCCAAGCAGTAATGTGGGCTAAAATTACTACGTTCCAGTTTTCAAGGGTAAGGGTGCTGGTGAAATTACACGCACATGGGACTTGTCAACTTATGTCTTAGGGTGGCAGGCGCAGTGGCACTGCCTCTCAGATCTTTACGATTTAAAGTTTTGCACTGCAACTGTTATGGACAGGCGTGTAGCTTACCACCAGCCACACGGCTTGTTCGTTCCATCACTTGATATTATATATAAAAAAATAATGTTACTTATTGTTTCGATTTTATGTTACGAAGTAAAAAAAAATATTTACTTAAAAAGACTCGAAGAACTCATGCTACAGTACAAAAGTTCATTTAAGATATTATAGTTAAAAGTTGATTTAATTTGTCTATGTTACTCGTAATGAATCCATAAAAAAAAAATGATTTTTTCATAATTAATAAATATACGTTAATAAATTATAAAATCAGTAATATCAGGTTTCTTACCACGCTATGACTTCTTCTGATATTAGTGATAATCATTTAGTGAATAACCAAGAAAGTCTTAAAATCTATATATAAAATCAGTGTTTGGTTTTGGTGTCCTCTTCTCTATCAGACCGTAAATTACTTGGTATAAATAGTGTTAAACTTTTACTGATACTATAAAAGCTGTCAATGAAAATTATCGAAACTGGTAGATTCATCATCATTCATCAATTCAAATTTCACAAGCCCTGAATACTAACGAATGTACCACTTTCGATTAATTTCTAGCAAATTCTAACGAGGTAAACTATTATTATTATAATTATTATTATATCCCATAGTCACGATTGACGTCAGGTTCCGGATGATGTGATGGGCCCGAAACGTCTACTGCATTATTAAGTAGTTATATTTTATTGAACAAAATCCAATAAACAGCTACTGGTTGGTAGTTTGACGTTTGCTCCAAGTTTGCCAATATTGTGTGGTCCTCTAACCATAGTACCTATCGCAAATAGTAAAATGTATCAGTGACAACTACTTTTAAAATAAAAGAGAGACATTTCACCGGAAAGGCAGTTGAGAAATTTTTGGAAATCGTATGTTACGTATACTATCAAGTTCTTAGGTTTTTGCGATTGTTACACATAGGAAATGAAACTATTTTTTCAGCCGTGTTTAGTAGTTTTAGTCAACCGTGACCATGGGACCTGTAAAGGGCCCGAAACGTCGGTTTGTTTGAAAAAACAAATATACGCGATTTAAATCCGGAAAAATAGTTTAATTTCCTATTACGTATACTATTTTTGATGTAGTTTTATTTGCCATCATGTACATTTTACATAACTTGTGCTTTCGATTTTCGTGCGGTTTCCTTGTTTGAAATGTACTTGTC